GTGGTGGTGGAGGCGGCGGCGGAGGTGGCATCGGCACTGACACAGGACCGTTTTGCACTACAAAATGAAGGAGTAATATATTACTGTGAACACCGATCAAAATATCATAAGCACGTGCAGAGAAAGTCTCAACATCTCTCGTCCCCCACTATGCATCTCCTCTCCACCGCTACACTGGCCCTTGTGGGGGGGCCAGCATTTGTTGGACCTTTCACCAAAGTACTTCAGTGCATTAACACAGGAGGAAACTACCCTAATGAAAGAAGCTAGTATTTTTTTTCTGTCAACTGAAGGGCTCAGAAATAGATCAGTCAAACATGGGAGCCAGAGTGAGAGTGCAAACACAGCTGGGAGACCTCAGCATCCTTGGCTGCTGCAAGGTGCCATGACCTGCAGGCTCATTATAACTGAAGGTGGTTTTGTCAGTGTAAGGTTGCTGTGACTGTCCCTGGCACAACGAACTGCACCCCCAGCTCCCAGCCAGCCCACCTCTTGGGGACAAAGTGCTTCTTACCTGCCTCAGATGCTGCTGCTAAGGTGGGTAATGGTGGTGGAGGTGGTGGCAATGGTACTGAAGATGCAGCTCCAGCGACCGGTGCAACACATGTGCCAGCCACAGCCTCTGACCCTGCCGGCACCATCCCAGAGGCCAGAGCAACAGGAAGGATAGAGATGTCACCATCACCTTTCTTCTGGATCTTAATGGTTCCCTGCTTCTCCAGTTCATGGATCTTTTTCTCCAGTGTTGACTGTCGCTGGATGGCTTCTTCTTTTTCTTTCACCATTTTTCTCAAGGTGTGAACCTGGGTATTTGCATCTTTGTAGATTTCCTGAGAATGCCGCAGAAACAAGGAATTTGCACTTGTACTCACAAAACACAATACCAATACCAGAAATAGAACAGCCTCACACGGGATGGTTACTGCACCAGTGAGCTTTGATGCAAACCATACGACTTCGCTGGTGAGGAAGAATTCATTTTGTGTTTTTCCCAAGCTAGCAGCAAGTCTGTGCACAGTATGGAGTCCTGGGAGAAATCTCACCTGTGGGCACCAACACCTGGGGGCGCAGAATTTCTCATCATCACTTTTAATGATGTCTCCCATTTCTTATGCTAGTCTTAAACATATAGTGTAGGTACGTTACCTCGATTTTGACTTTAACAGAGAGTATCTGATGCCTTGCTGGTTGTTCTACCTATGAGCAGGTGTTGGCCCATAAAGGGGAGCAGGAACAGAGCTCCTGATCTGGAGGGGAGATTGTACTTGCAAGTACCCAGGGCAGACCCTCCAAAGGAACCCTAGAACCACACTTAGGCTGAAGTTAGTTAATATTATACTAATAATTTTTGTTACTAAGTTTGTACACCAAGAAATAATGAGTCTGGATTGTGCACAGAAAGCTGGCTGCACTTGACAGCACAGACACAGGGCACTTGCTCCCGTCCTGCTGCTGCGCAGCCCAAGTCTGAAAGGCTCCAGGTCAACCTCCAACGCCCTTCCGCAGCCAACCATACGTGCAAAACTCCAAACGCAGATGCTACAGACCTGAGTGATAAGAGGTACCAGTCTCATTCACTGATTTGCTGGCACGTTCAAAGAGTTTTATGTCCATCTTTGAGGGCACACACTAGTAATTCTACTTGAAATCTGTCCTACGTTCAAAATTATGAAGCTAACAGAAGTCAGCTGGCCCATTAAAAGAGTCATTACCTCCCAAACACAAAGCGCACAGGAGATCGCTACCCTGAAGCCAGAGCTTTCCAATCGCACTTACCCGAATCACATCCAGTTCTTTATTTCTTTGCATAAGTTGCTTTTCCAGTTCCACAATCTTTGCCATGGCTTCATTCTCCGTATCTTGGAGTTTTTCAGATAACTATCATTCAAAAGAGAGATAGATTATATAAATGCGTAACAGTAGTTTTCTCAACCAAAACGTCAGGAACGCTTGTTGGAGCAGTGGTACGTAGTAAATTATTGATATTACACCAAACCCTGAAGTCTTTCTTTGGAAAGAGAGAGGGTTCCTGCATGCGACCAGGGGGCACTAAGTGCCCCAGTGAAGGTTCCTCTGATGATGAATGTTATCCTTCAGCTATGACCAGCAGATAACCTGGCTGGGCTGTAGCTATGAACCTGTCCAGGTAAGAGAGCCTACTCCACAATAAAGCACTTAAAATGCAATTATTTTCATACACACTAAGTCTGATCTGAAACCCCAAAACCCCACAGAATACCACAGTGGCACTGCTGCAAAACCAATAGATGCTGAAATGGTGGAACCTATAAATATCACCTCTCACAATGAGGCTAATTTGATTAGTAATGAATGCAATGGTTTATTTTTTTTCCCCCATGGTCTTTTGGTTTAGTTTTATTTTTTGCCAGCCCCACAAACCTAGGATCTGAAAGCCCCGCTGGTTTTGCTGGCTTTTTCCATCAACCAGCAATCACGCCGACTCAGGCGAGGCTGCAGAGGTGGTGAGGTGGCACCGATTGCTGTGTTTTTGCGATAAAACTTCTGCAATTCTATTATTAATATTTCTGTCAACATATGACAGAAAATTATGTCCATACTCCTGGGATGAGTCTTATGTAACAAGAGATCAGAAGCAAGCCCTTAAAAATTTGCCACCAGAGTAAACCATTACGTTTCTAAACAGCTAAAAGGAGTAGATCTATGAAGCAAATGCTGCCATTTCTACTGAATCACTTTTCTCTAGCAGAAGAGCACCTCAGAGGGGCAAATACTGCACGTTTAAGAAAGTATTTATTCTAAGTTATGGCCATATAGGAATGCTAACAGAATGACCCTTTTATGATTTTTTTAAAGTATGGAAAACATTTTAAATTTGAAACAGCCAAGCCATGTTTTCTGGACTAAAGTACCTGACACAAAGAAGGTATGGGACAGAAAAGCCGTGAGCAAACACTGAGTATCTGCACAGCACTATTTTTCAGTCTTGAGCCCCGTAATGTGTTTTAAGACAGGATGGTTATCTGCTCTATTTACCGGTACTGCATTGCTGAGGAATTTGCAATTTCTATGTAAATTACCTTTCCCAGCTCATAAGATAACTCTTTGCAAAGGCTCCATGCACCAAATGACTCCACCTGGAACCGCAACCGAACCAAAGCTGAAGGCTCCGAAGCTGCAAACCCGCCGTGCCAGCGCCTTGGAGGTGCGACCCTCTGCTCAGCTGGGCCCCCGGCATGGGGAGTCATCCCCTCCTGGCTTACCACAGCTTTCCCGGGGATAAACGGGCTGATGCTATGGAGGTGGGCGAGTGCTGCAGCCATGGCCACGTAAGCACTTTGACGGGCAGGCACCGCGCAGCACAGTCCCTCGACGTACACAGAAACGGCGTGTCAAGCCCCACGTTAACAAGGCAATGCTACCGCTTTATAAGAAGCTGGGGGTTGTGTCAGATAGGAGAGTAAATAAAATGACAGACTAAGACATTTTCTCATCAGGTCAATAAACAGCTTATGAACAAATATTTGTAGCAAGTAGAGCACCTATTAACTAAAACGTGCAGAATATGAGGTTCAAAATATAGCATGAAAGCACCCAGGAAGTTTACCTGCCTAAGATCTCCTGAATTCCTTCATTTGCCAAATATCTGATTATTCCCCCAACACAGAAGCACAGCAGTCCTAAGGCTTTTTCTAAGTGAACCTCACTCCAAAGGTTGTAGCCCCGCTGCGCCTGTGCTTCCACCTCCCGAAACGGGCAGTAGCAAAGCCCACGCACAGAGCGGGCTCTGAACTACTTCAGAGACAAAGCTGACAGAGTTTGGTACTAACATGCGAAATGTTTTCTTCCAGTTCTTCAACTCTTTCTAGGGCTGCATTCTTCGTTTCAGCATCCTCCAGTAAAGCTCCCACATCAAAAACGTTATCCAGGTAAGCTTGAATTTGCACCTGCAGTTTGTCGCTCTCTGTGTGTTTCAGTTTCTGCAAATCCAAGAAGACAAGGGTGTCACTCAGCACTGGCAGCCATTCGCAGCAAGAGGGCCGCAGACAGCAAACAGGGTGCGAGAGCGGCAGGAGCTCAGGCCACTTCCATCACCCAGGAAAACACTTTGCATTTTAACGTTAGCTGGGGTCGTAAGTGATAAACAGTCGTTTTTGAAAACCAAACATCCAGGGCTTTCAAATAAAGCTAAGCAGCATCTTAGGTTCTGTTACTACAGGGGATACTACTGCTTTCCTCCGTGCTTGCTGCTTGACCGTGGCAAGCTCTGAATCCACCACCCGGCCCCAGGACGGTGTGAGGCCAGCGAGATGGGCGGCCAGCGGGGCTGATCCTGCTGCTGCCCATGGTGGCCACCCGCTCGGTGGCCGGTAGGCAGAGGTGAGGCCATCACTTGTGTTTGGGTTCGAAGCAGCCGCGTGGCGCGGAGCAAATCCTCTGATTGCTCTCGCTGACCTCGCGCTGGGTTTGCTGTGTTCAAAATGAGCATGCTTTATCTCCAAAGATAACATCAGAGCACGTTTTGAACTGCTCTGCCTGTTCCCGATGGACCGCAGGGTTTGTGACACCCTGGGACCCCAAACAGACCCGTGCTCGGTATCGCCATGTACAAATACTTCTTGCAGACAGCAAAAAACCTCTCTCCTGGTTACTGCTAAGCAGAAGTCAGCAGGGACAAATCAATCCCTCGTCAACACGAGCACTGTTTTCATGTCTGTGCTCCCAAGGGCAGGGACAGGGAGAGAGAGAAAAATACAAAAAGGGACATATAAAAGCAGCTTTCTTCTGAAGGAGAATTTCCCAGAGGATGCCAGAAAACGCCTGGCTGTCAGGAGAAAACTCAAAGGAGGATTTTTTCACAGGGGGACGGAGGGGGCCCTCGCAGCACCTGAGCCGGGGCCAACACGAGGACTGCAGCCCGTGGCTGGAGGTCAGGGACGTGGCGCAGGCGAGGATGACTGCGGTTCATCCTCCCTTTGTTATAAGGCGAAGCTACAAATTTAGCTCCCAGTCCGTAATTGCAGTTAGTTGCAGTTGATTTTTCTTCTGCAGGGGTGGCTCCACGCCACAGCCCCCAGTCAGCGGCCAAGGCACTGCATTTTTAGCAGAGACTATGGCACAGCTCGGCTCTGCCCTCCCGAAAGCTCTCGGATGAGGGGGTTTAAGGAGGTTTAAGGCTAGGCTGGGCAGCGGCAGCGCTGGGGGACATGTCTCCACAGCCGCAAGTGGACCCAGCCCGCGCCGGTCAGCCCTGCTGGGAGAACAGACGCACGCTGCGAGGCACAGAGACCTAGGTCATACTCACATCCAAATACTCGTCCAGGCCCAGCTTGGTAAACTCATACTGCAGGTGGACTCTGAAGTTCATATCCTCTACCGAGTGGACAACAATGTTGATGAACTGCATGCAGGCCACCTGCAAGGAGAACCACTGCACGTGAGAGGAGGCGACAGCGTGTCCCCGGCCGCCCCCCAAAAGCCCCAGGCACCATCGGAGCAGGCTCTCCCGGGGCCCCATGGGTCAGACACAGCGAATGACCACATTTCCTTGCGGTTACTATGAGGGGAAACTGTGATCCGCTATTCTGCAGCGTTTTTCCAAGCCGGAGCTAGATTTGGGCTTATGGGGTATTTGTCTGCTGTGACAAAGGCAAACACAGGTTCCAGAAATTAAGTCATGTCTGCAGAGTCTACCTTTACTGCATGCTGGTGAACATAAACGCTTTCCATGCCAGCTCGCACGGCCAGACATCATACAAGCACACAAGCTCTTAAGAAAACGATGCTGTTTCTGAAACGGCCTGTAAAAGTGAGATTAATTTTGCAACTGGAACCCCTAGCTTAGGAAACGGGACTTTCACAAAAGGCGCTTTGTTGCTTGCAGAAAGCGTATTTCCAAAGCTGTGGTTTGGTAACTGAACAAGGGACCAGATCATAGGAGTTGGCATCCAAATGCGTCCCCACACAGCGAAGGAAAGGAAAAGGCTCTCAAGCGAAGCGGGTCGCAAACGGTATGAGAAACCTCCTGCAGAGTAGCAGGAATCGGGCTACAAACCCCAAGAAGTTTGCCCTTTACTTGAACGTAAGGCCAAATCCTGCTCTGCACAAGTATCCCCAGCCCTCTTTCAGCTCACAGATGATCATGTCTGTCACCCTCTGAGCTGCTTTAAGAGAGGGTTTGCCTAGTCCTTGCTGGGCTCCTATCCTGCTATCCTAGCAACGCTGAAGCAGGGATAACACCAAGCTTCTCAACGCATCTGGGAAGTATCTCAGTAGTTCTAGAATGAATCTGAGAAATGATAAAATCAAAGCAATCTGATTTTACCTGCAGGATAAGCCTCCAGGAGACCCCACGTCTCTGGGTCATTTTGTGGGAAGAAAGAACTGAAGGCCACTCGCTGGATCAGCAGTTTGCTACAGCAAACTGGCCAATTCTCTGTGATCTTCTGTAGGGCCCAGAGGATACAACTCATGAGCAGGCATCTGCTGCATGGTGGCCTTTGACTACAGGTCTGGCCAGGATGCCCCACGCTGCTCCTTCCAGCCGGAGCTCCCAGCAGCCGCTAAGCTGCCATAAAAACTTTCCCGGCTGAACTGCCTGGTAGTGCCCGGCTTTGGAGGAACCGGGACCACAGGGACGCAACCGAGGTCAGTCAAAACCTTTCAGCCACATCTTCCCATGTAGACCCTGACCAGCTTTAACCACTCTGTTTCCAAAATGACTTTAACCCTAGATAATGCAAAGTTGTGAGACTGGTAACAGGGGTAACCCCAAGGAAGAGAGGAAGGAAGATAGATGGTCTAAAGACTCACCCAGGAGCTCCTGTGATGTCTCACCCCCATCTCTTGGTGTGTACCCATCTCTTACACAAACAACCCGATCCAGGCAGCTGAAAACCTAATTTCAGGTTTCGAGTCTTTGCAGGACCCTTTCCAGCTCCTGTGGCGAACCCTTGTTCCTCCTAGTGCTGGTCCTGGCCTTCGCCAGCTGAACCCTGCTGTCCTGTTGTATCACCCAGAGCCAAATACCTTTATTTCAAAAGCGCTTTTGTTACACTTGCTTTGGCTCTCACAACGTTAGGGCCAAATTCTCATTTCCTTTCTCAGATCCTTACATACACAACTAAGGAATTTATCAAGTCAAAGAAAACTAATCTAAGAAAGTTGCTTTTAAAATGAAGCAAGTCAATGTCAACAACAGGAACCTTCTCTAAAATACTTTTGCATTTTTGTTGCTCTTTCCTCCCTGTCGATCCATGCAATTAACTGCGGCCCCTTCCAGCTACAGCTTCCCAGACAGCTCTCCATTTAGGGCAACATGAAAGCCAGGTCCTGCAGGAATAGCTCTTTGTTTATGTTCAGTCGTTGCAACTCCTTGAATTACTCGAGCTTTAACGTTACGTCCTGGAGCCGGAGCTCCAGCACCCGTTTTATCCCGTCCTGCGGAAAGGAGCGATGTCTGCCCTGGGCACCCCCTGGTGCAACCCGCGGGCTCCCGCAGCGCCGGTACCGCAGCGAGCCGAGGGGCAGGGGCCCGCGGCGCTCGCCGCCCCAAGCATGTCGGCTAGCGCTCGCAGCAGCATGCAGAGCTCATTAGGGCCAGATGGTGACAAGAACAGGCGGATCTGCCGGATTGTTTGTCATGAGCTCTCTCTTCTAGCTTTAGGCTTGTCATATAGTCAAGCCTATAGTTGGTGGAAGCAGCCCAAAGATGCAGATTTTATTAGTATTTGGGCAAGTCCTGAAAAAACCATACTTATCCTTTTTCAAGCAAATTTCACCACTACCTTCAACCTATGGCCTGAGAGAACCAGGGAATTTTTTTACAGGCCATCCAGATGGACGCTGAACATTCACAGCTCAACGGGCTTGTATGGACACACACTCACATGCGTATTCCCTATTATATCCTTACAAGTATCTTAAATAAAGAAGAGGAATGGTTTGTTTGTTTGTTTTTTTTTTTTAAAAACAGTGGACAAATCCCATAGCTCACAGCAAGGTGGCTGGCTGCAGGCTGCTGCCACCATCTTGCTTCCAGGCTGCACTGAGCTGTGCTACTCTCCCTGCTCCCCAAATACAACTACTTTTCCCTGTAAGCACAGGAAAAATGACTAAGAGTCGGGTGTTGAGGACTGACACATTTTTCTGTTAAATTACAGACTAAACTGTATGTACATCTGAAAATACTTAATGTATACTGTGACTACCAACATGTCCTTAGTAGGACTGCAGTAAGGAACAAAACCAACTGTAACATATTGGAAAGTTACTGAGAGCAGCTTGCCAACTTGACTAAAATTGCAGGGATCACTGTAATTTTTTTTTTTTTAAAACACAAGAAAGAGGCCATCCTATCTTGCTTACACTACCTCCTTTTTATTCTGCTGTCCCCTCAAGGGTGCGAGCCTGCCCCGGCCATCAGGGCTGCAAGCCACTAACACTGGAGTGTTGGAAACACCACACTGGGTGCTTTAACACTTAATTCCTGGCAGAAAGAGGTCTTTAACACAAAGCTCAGCACTAAAACAGTATAAAGTGTAACAGATGCTTAACAGAGGCCTCAGCAGACCACCCAGTGTGACCGGGTAGGAAGCCCTCCTGCTCTGCTCTCACCTCAAAACGTCAGATCCGAAGCACCGAGCACAAGCAGTGCAAGAGAGACTGCACTGACCACGCCAGTACCACATTCATTTTGTAACTAAAAATAGGGCTTTAATTTCTCATATTTCTGACCCGAGCACTCGCTTGCCATGGACTTTAAAGAAATGGATGCAGAAGTATTTTTGACATCAGTCATGTAACCAGCTAGCTCATCCTTACTGTCACGACCTCTGCCTTTCACGTGCTGCCAGCGTGCAAGCTGGGGCTGGTGTTTGTGGGTGCCAGCCAGAGCTTCCTCTCTCGCCCTTCTCTCTTGCGCTCCAGGGGAAGTGGTTTTGGTGAATAATCATGCATATGCACATTGAGGAACCAAAAGTGGTGCAAACTACTGCTATATTTATCAGCAGATAAGGACAGACAGCAGCTGCAGTGAGTCTCTCCCACACTTCCCTGTCTGTGACTCTGAGGATGTTGGCACACAGACAGAATACGCATCTTGATATTGCAGAAGCTGCTGCTTTGCTGCAGCAAAATAGCACACACGACCAAAAGGCCACTTTCCTCTTACCTTCACTATGGTACAAGGCATTTCTTGAAGATAACTGAATTGAACTGAAGCTAAAAATGAAACGCATATTATGTAGTTTGGAATACAAAAAATTGTACTGTGGTAATTTTAGGCCAAGGGTCAGAAGGCAGATACATCTTGCTGCTGCCTACGACAGCAGAACCAGACACAGTAAACACTGAAACCAAAGTTTGCTGATGATAAATAGCACTCACCATAAAGTCTATATTGTTATCTTCATTTCGGAAGTGCTCCATCAGCTTCTCAAAGCGCTGTTTCTCTCCACACACCTACAAAAGAATCACCACATGTTTGTTAAACTACAGCTTGCAAGAGAGAGTATTAAAAACATTTAAAAAGCAGCTCATCTGCTTGCTCAAAACCTCTCCGTCCAGATTTCCTCTTTTGTTAAAAATATTCTTCTTCGTGACAAATCCAGCGGAGGAATCACAGGTGAACACCTGTGCTGCAAGTCTAAGGGGTCAGGTACAATTATCTCTTTTCCCCCTAAAAATTAAATCGAACCCAGTGATGGTACGAACATAAGCAACAGAATTGCACCAGCGTATGCCACAGGAAGACTCAGCCTCTTTCACAGTGCGGAATTGGCTTTCCTCTGTAATATAATGTAATTAGGAAGAAGAACAAATTACAGGGAGGAAGAAAAGAAAATTATCACCGGCTAAATGAGGAGTGAAATACATCAGCATAACTATCAGCTGGTCAGAATTACAGAGCCGTAATACAGGGGTGTTGGCAGGAAACACAAGCAACTTGAGGGAGTAATAAGATCTAAGATAAAGCAGGTCTCAGGATACTGTTTAAATCTTATTACTTCCCAGTAGCTTCTCTGGCTCAGTCCTACTCTTCTCAGCACACAAATGATCTAGAGTAATTCACACCAAATTCACAAAATATGAAGTAAGTTGGAAAGCGAAAGGGAGCAGAGGTGAGCACCAGGAGATGCACCCATTTCCCCGTCCTCCTTACTTAGCAACTGCAACTCCTCCCTCCGTGGTGCATCATTCGGGGTATTTTTTCTATCCCTGCGTGGACAGACTACACCGAACGCCTAAGCCGTAGGGGTAGGAGCCAGTGCACGGCAGCTGCCCCCACACACCCTACTGTCCCAGCACGGTCAGATGGGAGGTGATGGGGGCAGTGCAAAGTGTCCCACACATTCCCAAATCCACTGGGAGCTTCCTCATACCCTGCACTGTGAGTTGACTTCTCGCTTGCTGGATTTTGGCGTCAAACTGAGCAGTGAATGCAGGAAGAGCACAGGCATGCTCTTCTGAACAAAGCTGTAAGTGCCTGCGTTGGCACATCCATCCACGAACAGCGTTAAATGTTGTTCCCAGCTTCACCCTCCTCAGATGCTGGCTCTTTGCAGAGGGACAGGAGAAGCTCTGAAAGAAGGTCTTTTGCTCTTAAAGGTCCTGAAAAGCAGAGTCCAGTCATCCGGAGGACTGAAACTTCCCTTCCGCTGAGAAACAAAACCCTCGGTGAGCCCAAGAGGCTCCTTCCTTCCTTAACCAGATTTCACCCAAATGTCCCGGGAGTGCTGGGTGCTACTGATCAGGAGCCGGGGGGACAGCAGTGGGACCTCTAACCCGGGCCGTCCGGTTAGGGTCTGCCAGCTTCTGAGCGGCACATCCCCCTGAGACATCAGCTGCTGTTTCCCTTAGCAGCCAGCTCACAGCACAGTAGTTATGTGAAATTAGCCAACAAATGGTAAATTAAGGATTGGCGGGAGCACTTCTTCTTTAGAAACTAACCTCTCTGGTGCAGGGGCCAGTTCTTTGTACGTATTTCTACATTTGTGTCTCCCGGAAGGAGACCAAATCCCCAGTTGGGGTTTCTAGATACTCCCAAAAAGCAACTTCTTTACAAAGTATGCATTACGATTACTATGCCCGTATCAGCCTCCTCTTTCTAACTGTGTCTATCTTATAGCATGTACCTACACAAAGGTTAAGGCACTGAGCAGACCTCACTGAAGTCACACAGAGTTTAGCGGGACCTGAACTGAGCTGATCACGAGATCTGCAAAGCACTGCGAGTAGGAGCCTGCTGGGTGACCTCTCGCCACGCTTTCTGCTGTCTGCTATGACTGAATAAAACATACTTGTGGTGTATGTGATACATCTTCTGTCATTCCTAAGCAAAATTGCCACAACTGAGTTATTATTCAGATATTTGTGGTCAGTACCTGACGTCAATGAGAATTCTACCATTGGATCTCTGTGAGAGGACAGGGACACTGGTTATGATGAAGTATTGGATAATATTACCATCAATATTCATGGCCACAATCCCACAAGTTGCAACTAATGGGCTCTGTGCAGGCTCAGCAACCCCCACTCGCACAGCCTCTGGTAGTGCTGAAGTCCGCACAAACACTTGCTAAAGTTGTATTTAAGTGTTTCCAGCTAAACCTTAACGACTCGCAAGGTAGAACACACTTAAACAACAAAGCATGCGCCCTCATGAAAAACAGATTATACTTGTTGGTCAAGCAAATTATCATGATCTTAAACCCAAAGGACTTGGCTCTCTCCACAGCCTATGCCATGAAAGTGGTTTTGAAGCATTAAACGCCTTTACATGGGCTGTTCCACTAGGCCCATAAAACACACATTAAGGTCTAAGATAGAGTAAAACAGAGCCCCGACAGACCCACTCTTGGATGGAGCCGTCTCCTTGGTGTCGCCTTGCCTGCAGTTGTGCAAGGGGCATGACCTGTCTCTCTGCTTAGCAGAGATGGGATCCCTGGGACACGGAAAGGATGGGTGAGTTTGGAGAGCCACTGTCATTCAGCTTCAGGTTGTAAATCAGTCCAATCTCAGGCTTTTCTTCAGGAGTAATCCTCGTGAAGCCTCCCTACAGCATCAGGAATCACCTTGCTGGCAGATAAAAGCCTAAACACCCAATACATATTGCTGATGGTTACAGCAGCTCCCACGAAAACTGAGGGCAAGCGAGCGAGCCCTGCCCCAGCCTGCCAGCGCGTTTGCTTTGCAGCGGGTGGCTCGAGAGCTGGCTCTGCAAAGCCACCAAATGGCCAAACTCAAATCCAAAATGGCCAGGAGCACCCTTGAGAAAACAGGGAGATCCTCGTGAGCATTTTGGCATGACTATCCTGGTTTCACAAGCGTGCGTTTAAAAACGAGAGGCGGGATGAGCGCGCTCCGGCGGGGACCAGAGCATCTCCGCACCAGGCGACAGCACCAGCGCCTGCCGGCATCCCGCCCGGCTCCTGCACCCTGCGCGGGCAGGACCGGGAATCATTTCCTCCTGAAGAAGCTCAAGTTCATCGAACATGCAGCAATGTGACCTACTCCGGGCGCTCACCACGAATGCCCTACCACGCACCCTCTCACCCAGGGCCCACCAAAAGCACGGCTGGCAGGGTGCAGCCTGCAGGCGTGCAGCTCTGCCCCGGGAAGTAGCCCCTTCCCAGCAGGAGCAACACGCCCTTCAGGAGCAACAGAGACGAAACGCTGCGAAAAGGCCGGCCTCCGTCAGGAAGCGCCAAAGAGAAAACCAGAACCTGGCCGAGTTTCAGGAACCTACTGGCACTGTAAGGATCAAAGGCAGCAGCTGCCCGCCGGTATAATTTGATTTTGGAGGCTGGGTCTGATCCAACTCCCGCTCAAAGCAACCCCAAGGAACCCTCTCCTTCACTTGCACCACAGGCTGCTTAGATGCACTCGTCCCTACGTTATTATCACAAGCCATTGTTTTTCCTACTATAGTTAATGGGATGGTATTTCAGTTCAACCAACTGCAAATTCTTCCAGTGCTCTCCGTACTCTCCCCTCCCCAGAAAACAGCTAAGAGTCAACATAACAAAAGAAAAGAAGTAGGTTCATCTCAACTTTGAGGTCTAAACAATCGCATCTCTCCTGTACCCACTTCAGAAAAAATTGAGCCCATTTAAACAAAATCATGTATTATGGAAACAAACATAACAATGGTGCATACGATCACTCAACAATAAAAGCCAGAAGGACTGATTTCTGGGAAATTTAATGTAAACCATTCCACATGGATGAGAAAAAGCTGACATAAACAACTACAAGCCATTAATGGCTGACTAATTAAATTAGGGAGCAATTCGAAGTGATGCAGCCCGGGCAGAGAACTGCTGATCCCGGGACGCAAGCAGCCCCGGCTGGCTGGGATACAGCAGCTGATAGCAAGAGGAAAAGCAACAACAACCTGCGGCTTTCGGTGGCTGCTTGCAGATATTTCACACTATCATCAGATGAGTCAGAGCTGGGAACATGTGCGTTTCAAGAGACAGCGAGCTGACTTTCATGAAATGATATAATTTATCCTGGAAGATTAAAGAGAGTGTAACTGTAGATGAAGCCTACAGCCTGAAGATTGGCCAAAATCCAAGATGAATGCTGAAATCAAATCCCACCACATAAAACCATATGTTGCCATTTATATTTGAATAAATTTCCAAGGTCTGTCATTTGAAAGTATGGCTGGGACTAAGAAAGGCTGATCTTTCTTTTATTAGCATTATTCTGTGTAAGAAGCAAGATTAAACGGGTTACCACAGCTATAAAAAACCTCTGCCTCTATTTAGGCTGTGAAAAAAAACTTTTTAGGTTGCACTAAACCCACGTCATTCTAGAAGAACAATGTGGCTTTATGGAAAACCACCCATGAAGGGTCCTTTCTCTGGAAAGGCTTTGGGTGCTAATGAAGTCAACCTGTCATAGATCTATTACAAAGGTACAATACAATCCTATAAGGAAGCAAAAGGATCCGTTATGAAAAATGTAGTGATGATTATATCCATATCCACCTGGCAATGCTCTCAGGTCACACAGTTCGCATCCAGACCACCCAAGAGCAAAGTTCAACTACGACAACCCTCGCGTTGCTCCTGCTCACGTGGCCGGATTACTGTACGATGCTCCAGAAAGGCATCCTGGGCAGACAGCAAAAGACACCCAGGGTATTTTGGAAAAACTGAAGATGTTTTCATGTGCAGTGTCAGGCAGAAAGTGAAAATCCAGGCTCATCGAAGCACATCCATCGTCCTCCTACCTCAGACAGTTATCTAACAACATGAAGCACCACCTCATTTTGTTGGAGAATGGAGCTCATAACTAAACTTCACCACAAGCAAATACAGCATGCTCCACATGGAGATGGCAGCGAACACAGGCAGTGTTTCAGGCTTTGGAGCTGCAGCTTGTTGGCGGTACAGAACGCACACTACGAGGCACAGCTGCCAGACCGCTACCTCCTCCACATCTGGAGGACT